CTATAATAATAATAATAATAATAATAATAATAATAATAATAATAATAATAATAATAATAATAATAATAATAATAATAATAATAATAATAATGATGATGATGATGATGATGATGATGATGATGATGATGATGATGATGATGATGATGATAATAATAATAATAATAATAATAATAGTAATAGTAATAGTAGTAGTGTAGTAGTAGTAATAGTAATAATAATAGTAATAGTAGTAGTAGTAGTAGTAATAATAATAATAATTATAGGAGCATTATAATAATAACACAATTATCATAATAATTATCATGAAATAATATAGTAATATATACAGCCTATGTAATACGTTGTCGTTGTAAAGTTATATAACTATAGTAATAAAAGTAAAGATAAACGCGGCCCTTTGTATTTGGTTCGAATACCATGCTACGCAGGATTTTCGATGACAAACATGGAGCTACGCTCTTTCTGAACACCTTATTTCTTTAGGACGTACTAAGACCGAAGGCTGAATCAGATGGCATTCTCACAAACATTATTAAAACGGTTCACTTATATTACTCAACATAACAAATATCATTTTTTACTATTTGCACCTTTTATTCATCTGCTATAAATTCATATTCTATTAAACAAAACAAGAAATTTTATGTTGTTTTCATTACATTTTAATACTATTTAAAGAAACACAAAATTTGTATCTTAACTTGTAATTTCTTTTTATACACAATAATAACATATTGAAAAGCATACTAATAATAGTAATAGTTTTTAATAATATATCATGTACATTTCTATCTACTAATATTTATATAGCCAGAATTTATTTTTTTATGTTACTTATTCAATTTTAGTAAATATTGGCGAAGACAAGTATCGAATTTGAATATCATGCATAGTGACATCATTTATAGTGCAGACCAAACAAATAAAAATGTTATATTCCACTGCTATTCGCAAATGTACAGATGTATATTGTATATATATAATGATATATGCATTTTATATAACGATGTTCAGAATCATTCATCTGCTCAAATGATAATCATTTATATTACTATTCCCCTCCCTTTGAACTCACGGAATACAAGTACATAACATTTTTTATTGTCAATCCAATAATCTGCCATTATATTTTGTTTTATATGCTAATTTAAGTTAGCAATAGTGTACAATCAGCTACGAGTATATAAGTAAATGTCATTATCTTAGAATTCGATATTGCAAGGCAATGATTAATCTTTTTTTCTTCTCCCTCTTTTTTTTTTTTTACAAAATCGTCTCTGTGATAATCTAGAGTGTTGAAAAGAGCGCATTTTAATGTAACTTTTTTTTAATATTTGTATAGCATTTTTAATGCATCAATAGATTTAATTGTAAGAATATAGTTCAATATTTGTCTTGTGTTGAATGAAAATCGAATAGATCAAAATTTAACCAATCTTGTGATGAAATGTATTTTGATTTTGCATAATTAAAATGTTTCTAGATTGTTGAAAACATATATATCTGATCAATTTCTATTTCTGTTTGTTTTAAATATTTTCTGTCAATATGTCACAGCAATTATGATATACTAAATAGTATTAAAAATAAGCATTACAGATTATCTTTCATAGCCTTCATTAGCACAGATCTTATAATCATTAATAATAAGTTAACATATCATATATGCTCAGTTCTGATTTTGTTATTAAGATTCGTAAAATCGTTGTGCCCGAAAAAATATACATGTATATATTTATATGTTTCAATTCAATCAAATAAATTGAAAAAAAAAAAATATTTTATCGATAAAATTTATAATTTTCCAGATTTGTCTTGTTTACTTAATTCAAGAGCTAAAGCTAATTCCGCTTCTTCTTGCTTTTTGCGTCTACGCCTTTCTTCTTCGGTCTTTAAGCTTTGTTGGGATGCCCAAACAAATTGCTCTTCTTCGCTTAATGTTAGAGGTGTGTTATTGCCGTTCCAAATTTTACCAATTTCGCTTTTCGATTTTTTATCATTAAAACTAGAATTTTTAGATTTATTGTGTGCTAAATCTTGTCCGTGTCTTCTAGTAGATTTTTCATTCTTAGTAGAAAATGCTTCATCTATATCGATCGTTTTTATCTTAATATTTGAAAATGCATCGGATTCAATGGTTTTTATATTTCGGTTGTCATCAGAAAATGCTTTCACGAAATCAGTATCGAATTTAGCATTGTCTTTATCAATCTTGTTTTTAGTGAAAGATAAAGTATTTGAGAAATCAGTATCAAAGCTTTTTGTAAATGAATTTTTACGCGAAAGTGCTGAAATTGTTCCATAACTAAATGGATCTGCATTGCCTGCCATTGTTTCATTTTTATTTGCATTGAAATCTTCTGTATCGTCGGCGAAAGGATCTGCTATATTAAAAAGGTCTTCATATCGATAGTCTCTGAAGGGATCTTCCGTGAAGTCAGGCAGCTTTGAAGTTACCGTTGATACTGTTCTGCTGGTTGGTCTGGGTGGTGCCGTACGATTCAGTGTTGGTTCCGGCTGAAGCATGTTTTTTTCAGTGGTCAATTTTCGTTTACTGAAAAGGCAGAAAGAATATCGCAAAAACCGCTGATTATCATCAAACTGCTGGTCCATACATGGCTGCTGTTGAATATTAAAATACATCGAATTTCAAGTAAAATATTCAAAATATTCGAGTTGATTTAATTTTATTATAAAAATATGAAAAATTATATATATTCTATAATATTTTATTAAATCAATCCATTCTTATTATGTATTATATATAATTTATATTATAATAAATTATAATATTCAAAAGATAAAAAATAAAAAAATAAATAATTTTCACGAATAAAATATTTAATATAAATAATATTAAATAATAACATTAATAATTAAATAAATTAAATAATACTATGCAAAACATAATTATAAATTAACTCGAACATTTTATATAATTCTATAATTATTTAAATATATAGTGACTACAAAAAATATTTGTACATGCAATTAATTTTCAATGAAAGGTTTTCTATGTGCCTTTCATTTGTATAACATTAAATTGTTGCAATGATATAAAAATATTGCTAAATGATATAAAATTATTTGGATTTAATTAATTGTATAAATATTTTTTGTAAGTATTATAAATAATTAAATAATATAAAAATTGTCATGCAATATCATAAAAAGAAAACATAATACTGAAATAATGAGAACAAATTAATTTGTAGACATCATGCTCCAGGAGCCAGGTCAATGAATAAACTGAAAATTGTGCAGCTTCTACCTAAATATAAAACAAAAAATATATATAATTAATCTTTTTCTGATATAAATGTATTTTACAAAATAATATTGTAATATATTGAAATGATGCATTATGTATGCATTATGTTAAATATATTTCCAGAAATGTAAATAATTATTATTTATATTATTATTTAAACAAACATTTTATTTAAAATTATATTTTATTCATGTCAATATATTTTATTTTGCATTAAAAATAGCTATATTTAAAATATACAGTGAACAATGTATAACATACTAGAGATTGACAAATCTGGGAAAGGAAAGGATATGGCCAGGAAGATATATGGGAACACTTAAACAAAAAAAAAAAAAACAAAGAAATTATTATAATTAAATGCCAAAAAATTGTTCTACTAATTATTAAAATAAGAATATTAAAAAAAGAATTTTCAACAATATTATACCAGACCTGAAAATTTGAAAATACATACCTTGGAATCAAAATTAGCAAAATCTGCAAATCCAGTAGATGTATTAAAATTATTGCTGTTATTATTATCCATAATTCCTTGTTGAGTAGAGAAAGCATTTGCAAAAGGATCAGGAGTAGGAGAAGGGGTAGGTGGTGCTGGTGCTGCTCGTAAAGGACCAGTAGGTCCTTGAGCTGGTCTTGGAGGTGCTGGTCGTGGTGGTGGTTGTTTTGCTTTTTTTGGAGGAAGAGCAGGACTAGGACTTTCTGGTCGTGGTGGAGCATGAAGATTTGCAAATGGATCATCTCCAAATGGATCTTTTGTTGCCTAAAACAAAAAGCTAATAAATGAATCAAATAATAAATATATTTTATATAAAATTTATTTAATGACTTACTGCTGTTGCAGAAGTAGTTTTAGTGTCAATTCTTTTTCCATCTCCAAATGGATCAAATGGATCTTGCTTTGCGACATTGTTATCATCAAATACACTAAATGGATCAGCTGTGAATCCTCCCTATAATTAATATATAAGAAAATATAAGAATATTATTAAATTATATTATTTATTATATAAATAATATAAATAATTATTTAAACTAAAAAATCTTACAGTGATATTTGGGGATGAAAATGCATTTCCAAATGGATCTGATGTTGATACATTAAATGCTTCTGCAAAAGGATCTTGTTCAAATCCATCTATTGTTTTTTCGTTTGTTTTAGAAAAGGAACATTTTTCTTATTTTGAATTTTGTCTTCCTCATTCGTCTTTTCATATCTATAGATTTTTATATAAAAGTAATGAAATTTTATATTATTAAAACATTACTTTAGATATTGTTAAAAATAGTATTTATATATGTACATACTCTAAGTTTTCAATTTCAGGATTAAATTGTAGACTAGTATCAGGTACAAGAGTGGCATCTCCTGCTGCAAGTGCAGAATCATAAAGTGCAATTGCATCACTCATTTGGCGTTGTTGTTCTTGTAAATGAGTAATTTTTGCTTTTGCTTGACAAATTTGCAGCTGAGTATCCTGTAAATTTTTAGTAAGTTCGTTTAATTGGTCCCTGCTTTTATTTTGTTGCTGTTCTAACTGCTGCTCTTCTTGTCTCAAGCCTTCTAATTCTTGTCGTTTAAAATTCAGTTCTTCTTCTTGAGTACGCAATACTGATTCTTGTTCTTCTGCTTGTTGACGTAATTTATCAACCTATTGTTAATCATAAAACATTATATATAAAAATTTTCATTCTTTATAACTTATATATAAAAATATGTTTATATAATGTATTATTTATACATGTATATATACATTTAATTAATATATATATACATGTAATTTATGGATTAAGTATCTTTATAAATGTAATTAAATGAAATTTATTTTCATTTATATATAAATAGATTTATACATTAAGCATATATTATAATAATGTATAATGTTATTATTATTAACATAATATTATTGACAAATCATTTGTTATAAAATAAGAAAATTTTATTAAATTATATTATATTAAATATAAATATTATATTATATAATATTTAAGACTCAAATCTAGTACAAATAATTTTGATTAAATTTAACAGATAAATATACTTTAATAAATGAAAAATCTTTTCCAGACTGGAGTCTTAAATAAAGAATTGCAAACAAATATAATTTTTTTATGATATAATTTATGCTATAACTAATTTACCATGCAATACAGCAAAGCATTAGCATCAATTATACAATTTAAATAACAAAATAAAGCATTTTTAAACTGAAATATAACATATGATAAATTATTAATTTTTATATTTTGTACATGCTTATATAGATATAATTAAAGTTCCACATAATTTATATATGTTTTCATATATATGATTAAGATACAAAATAAAACATGAATTGATTTTATCTTAAATATTTTTAATTTCATTATTATTATTATATTAACTTTATCATATTATTTATTAATATTACTAATATTAGAGAATTGTAATTTTTATTTCATAGAAGTAAGAAATAAAATCTGCATATTACTAACCATACCTGTCTTTTATTAAAAGTAACAATTTTTATGTACCTTTTTTTGTTCCTCATGTATCTTCTGCTCGATCTCATTCAAATCTTTATCTACTTCTGCCTTCTACAAGTCAAACATAATAAAACTAAATCATAATGAAAAATCTAAATATATTACAAAATAAAATAAGAAATAAATTGATAAATATTTATCTATCATAAAATATAAATTATATTTACATATGAAAAATGAATAATAATAAAAAAATAATATAAATCATATAAAAAATAAAAAATTATTAATTATAAATTAACAGAAATAATTTTAAAAATTTTGTAAATTATAAAATATAATAATTATAATTATAATAATTATATTATAAAATATAAAAAAAATTATATAATACTAAATTTAAAAAAGAATTCTTATATTTCTTTATGTTTCTTTCTAATTGTTAACTATTTTGCGTAATATTTATTAAAAATATATAAAAATATAAAATATTTAATATAAATATAAAATATATAAAATAATGTAACAATATAATATGCAATATTAGATTATATTATTAATTAATTTATATCAAGTAATAATTTCTAAGTTATAAAAATTGTAATACATTTAATACATTTACATATTTTAACAAAAGCATTATATACAAGTCACAAATATACATTTCTAATTTCATGTGAAAGCAAAGCTATACATTCAACAAGCAAATAATCTAAATATATCATATTACAATTTTATTTACCTGAGCCTTCAAATCGTTCAATCGTTTTTGTGCTTCACCTTTCTGATTCTCCAATTGTTTCAATGTAGCAGCCAATGTATCCAATTCACTTTGTAAACTTTTAATTTCACCATTTTTTATCTTTATATCAGCTTCTTTTTGTGCTATGTCTTGTTCCATACTTTGCCTCTCTTTTACAAGTTCTGCTATATCTTTACTTATCATGTCCAATTCTGGATTTGAATAACCAGATACATTATTGTTTTCCTAAAAATTAAAGTGCATTTTATTTAAAAAAAAAAGTAAAATAAATTAAAAAAATATAAGATATATTTATAAAATTATGACTTATATGCATGGATGAATAAATATTTTATAAATGTTTTTGTAAGAAAACATAAAAATAAGTAAACCAAAATTTAAATATAATTTATATTTTAAAAATGTATTATTTATATAATTATATCACATAAAATAATTAAGATACTATTATATTATATTTATATTATAACTAAATATTTTAAATAATATTAAACGATTCTAATATATATTTTTATTAATATATTTCTTTACAATAAATGAAATATTATATTAATTATAAAAATGACTCAATAATTTAAATTCTTCTTATATGTTTAACATATTTTTCTATTAATTAATCGTAAAAAAAAAATGAAACTTCTTTCTTGCTAGAATTTATTAGTGAAAATATATTTATAATTTTCCGATCTATTATATATCTAATTATTGTTAATGTTAGATCAATTTATAGAATAAAGGTACTATCATTCAGTGTATTCATTATAAATTCTTCTATATATTCGCGACGAGTTTTAAACTTGATTTTTCGAGGATCATCTGTACCATACAAAGATTTTAATTTTGCTTTTCTTGCTTCTGTTTGTAACTGTTTTGCAAATATAACATTTTTTGTTTTTCTTTTTTCAAAACAGCTGTAGGTGATTTATAATTTATTGAAAGAGATACAATTTTTATACAATCTCTCATATCCAAATCTTTTTGTTTCTTATGCAATAAGGACATGCCCAATATTGCATTTAAATTATGTTTACAATCTTCTGACATATTTCTTAATTTCAATATAAAAAAAATTAAATAAATATATAAAGAATTGAAAATCGTATATCAAGCTTCATTTGAAATATTATAAAACAAACTGCTATGCATTTAAAATTGCTGTTATATTTATTGTATATAGTTTTTAATTTTACAATAGGAATAAATTTGTGGAAAAAATATAATCAAATTCGTAAAAAAATAAGTCAAGTATTGAACAAACAACAAGGTAATAATTTTTCTAATTTCTTCTCAATAAAAATATAATAAATTTTTATTTATATAAAGGAAGTGACTTACTTCTTGATATTAATGAATATGAATATCCAAAAGCAAATGAAACACTTAGAAAAATACACAAAGAGTTATGGCAAGAATATTATAAATGTTTAAAAGAAACATATAATGAAATTGGACCAGAAAAAATTATGTATCCAATAACTTATGAAGTTCTAATAGGAACATTAGTCACGTATGTATGATAAAAAAATTTTTGTATTACTCATTTTTAGTAATAAAATAATTAAATATAAATATAAATATAATAATTAAATAATAAATAATAAAATATAAATTTCAGACTAAAATGTCAAATATGTATATCTCCAATTGAAATATATATTAGCAATAATATAGAATGGTATTTCAATAATACTGTTAATAATGAAACAAATAAGCTTATAGATGAAACAGACAATATATTTATTTCACCAGAAGATAGAACATTAATGATACGTAACATTAAGGTACAAATTATTAAAAATATTTTTATCATATTAACATGAAAGCCTTTTTAGTCTGATCAAGCTGGTCAATACTGGTGCAAATTTAAAGATACAATATCAATATATTATTATATATCTATTGATACTGATCTTGAAAGAATAAGAACTGTATATCCTACAACAGCACCTAACATGCTTCATGCAATGCCACAAGAGATTATTCCAGAATATAATTTAAATATTTATACAATGTGGACTAAATGGTCTTTATGTTCTAAATGTAATGCAATTGGTAAAAAAATACGGTATGGATACTGTACTCTTTCTTCACATGAACAAATTATTAAGAAAAATGTAATAAAAGAAAAACAATTGGAAGATTATAAAAGACAAAGTACATTTTTTCTATTACTAATAAATATTTATATTAGAAAATCTAAAATAACATTGATTTATAATATAATAATATTTAGCTATAGATAAAAAAAATGAAACAATAGAAACAGTTCAAAATCAAATTATAAATGAAAGTGTGAATAATAAAATTAAAATAGTTTTACGTTTATTTAGAAACAGAATACCATGTAAAAGTAAATATTTACCAAAAGCTTTGAATATTTCAAAAATCAATGATAGGAAAACAGAAATTATGGTGCAATATTGCAAAGTATTATTAAATATTTTAAAAAAAATTTTATGTAATAATTATACATTATATATATAAATCAAATATAGATTGAAATAGAAATTTGTTTGCAGGTAAAATGTTCAGAGAATATAATATTTGAAATAAGAGATAAGAAAGGAAATGTGCTTGAAAGTGCAAATAATAGTGCTGGTATATATTCTATGGTTCAAGGGATGCCTGCTCCATTATTACCAGTTATACGTACAACAATTTATAAAAAATATGATAAAAAAGCAACTCTTATATGTTTAGGGTAAAATAACATTAAAAATTAAAGAATTATATTCAAATTTTATCAAATTTTTCAGAAACTTAAATGCAGATATACCAATTATTTGGAAAATAGATGACAATGTCTTAAATCCATCTATCATTAGAGATCAATCTCAAGGAAGAATTTATATTAATTCACAAATGCATATAATTTTCAAATCTTTGAAATTCGAAGATACAAATATTTATAGGTAAATAATCATTTAATTTTATCAAATTAAAAATTAAACAATAAATTTTTAATAATTTATGATCATATTTTATAAAAATTTTGTTTACAGTTGTTGGCAAAGAAATAAAATTGTTAGCGTAATAAAATTAAATGTAACAGGAGAAATAGAACTTCAAACAAATTATAGCATAATTATGGTTGGTGGAATTCTAATAATTATTGTATTCATGATTCTATTTTGGAGAGTATTTCAAGCTCGTAAACGTATTACAATACACTAACTATATTGATTTTAAAAATATTAAATTAATATATAAATATATCATATTATATTATATTATAAAAATATTATATTCAATAAAAATTTTCATATAAAAAGATATTTACCACAATAGACTCAGATGGTTTCCGCATAGAAGGTGGTATCATATCAGGGCTTAAAGTTGCAGGTGGTTCAATACCTCTAAGCTTCTGTTTAATAAGCCACATGGCTAAAGCAAATTGTTCTTTATTTAACTTTCCACTTTGACATGTATCACAAAGACTCCTAAAAAATAAATAAAACAAATAACTAAGAAATTTTATTATTTCTTACTTATCAGTAAATATAATAATTAAAATATATATATATATATACCATATATGAGCTAATACAGTTTGTGGAAGTCCACTTTGAAGGAAGACATCTTTGATTTCAATACCTGAGACATATCCATCCATGTCTAAATCAGCTTGCAAAAACAGTTTATCTGCTGCTATTTGATCCTCAGATGAAATTACCCATTGCATATTTACCTAAATCATATATTTTTATATTTCAAATTTAAAATTTTTAATTTATTTTATTATAATTAAAATACCTTTGTTGTATCCAAACCAGTCATATTCTTCATTGAAGATACATTGGGTAAAGGTGGAATTGGTGGTGGAACTGTTGTCATTACACTCATTGATGCAGGAGATTTTGATATTGGTGCAGTAGAATCTTTTCTTTTCCCTGGTGGCATTAATTCTGGTGGAAGTACACTTGGTATAGCATATTTCTCTAAAGCTTTATATACTAAATGAACAGCCTGTATTAAATAAGTAACATGTCAAGCTATATTAAAAAATTTAAGGAATTTATTTATCATGACTTTTATATTTTATATGTTGTATAATTAATTACTTACAACAACAAATTCATGTCTATCTAGCATACCATCTTTATCCATATCTGCAAGATCCCAAATCTTTCCAAGTGTATCTAAAGGAAGTTTACTATCCATAAGAACATCCTTTACTTTATTACCAGGTATATATCCATTTGAAGGTTGCAAACTATCAAAAAGTTGATCATATTTGGCTCTTTCTGAAGGTTTAATGGACCAATCTCCATTATTGACAGATGTTATTACTGGTAAAGTATTTATAACATTTTTTTGGGGTATTATAGGAATATCACCCTAAAAAAAATAACAATAATAAATACAATATCTTATTTCATACATTAAATAATACAATTATTATATAATAACAATTTACCATTTTTGGAGGTGGCAATTCTATATTTAAATTTGACATATTAAGATCTCTCCCTGCTTGAGCTAATGCACAAAGTTTAAGAGCAACAAAAAGACCAGACTTGTCTAATGATCCACGTGATTGTGGATCTGCCATATCCCATATTTTACTTAATATAACATCGCTTAACTGAGATTTCTTAAGAAATCTTGCAGCTTCCATTGCTCCAATGCGTCCATATCCATTTGGATCCACCTTTAAATATAATTATATTTAATATGTTTTTCTTGTAAGAAATTCAAATATTTAATTTTAAATTATTTAAATTTAAAAATAATGTAAGAAAATACAATCAAAAAATACCTGGTTATAATAAGCCTCATATATAGCAGTATGGCTTCCAGCCACCTGCAAAACAAAAATTTATTATATTTATTATATCATAAATTATATTATATTATAAAATATTATATAATAATTTCGAGTTTAAGTAATACATAAATTTTATCTAAATTTTATTTATATAAAATTATTACCGAAAATATATGCTATTAACATTAATAAGTATGTAAATAAAATTAATATTTCACATTAATTGCAATTTTATTAAAAAATTTATTAAGAAATATTTAAAGAAAATAAAATAATTTAATATCAATTTATTAAAAAATTATTTGTATTGTCAAAGAAGTTTAAGTAATCGACAATACAAATGGGTCATATTCAGAAATGCATGGTAAAATTGATATTGTTTTTGCATGAAAGAAAAATAAATTTAAAAAAGAAATCAATTAATAATAAATTTAACATATCGAATATTATAGTTTGATAAAATTATAAAAATTAAAATATACCTGCGTGGGTGATGGCAGGGCGGCCATACTTGCATTGAACACTGGCTTAACCAATCAGACTATGAATCGATATGATGTTAACTATTTTACTTAACATTTTATAGATGAATTTTATTATTGTCAGATATACTAATAGAATATTAAATAGTGGTTATATTTTTTCTTTCAAATTATTTAAATTAACAAATAAAATAAATAAAATTTATTAACAATATGAATTACTTCTACTACTTATAATGTTTGATTACTGTCTCATATTTCATCTTCTTTCCAATACGATCATGTAAACTAGACTTCATATAAAGATATTAACATAATTTCAAATTAAAAATCTGTTGTTTTTTAATTCTTAAATGGAGTTGTATATAAAAATATTTATATGATATATCTTATATTATTATATATATAAATTTTTATACATATCTTATATATATATATATTTTAATTAAAAAAAATAAAAAAATTATGTATATAATAATATAATATGCATATGAGCATAATAATAAGTAATAATAAATAATATAATATATGAATAAACGTCTAATTAATTATATTGTAAAATTAAAAAACAATGTTGTATAAATAAAACAACAAAAACATTTTATTAAAATTTAATTTATTAAGAAAAAATACATATAATCTAGAAATAATTATAGTATGGTTGAAAGCCGTGGAAAAGGATTTTGTTTAGAAATGACTAATTTTTTATGTTGGTGTGATATATAACCTTTAATTTTGCCTTCATAGATTAAGTTTGCAACAATGCATTCTACTTCATCCATATCCACATCATCAATTCCATGCATTTCTAAAGCCGAAAGTAAATCTTGGATAGGAATTTGATGTATGTTCAACACTAAGTACACTTTCTTAAATAAATTTCTATATGCTATTATTTTCAATTTCTCCACAATTAAATATATTCCTGCTCCTATAAAAAATGATTCATGTTTTTCCATTACTTTTTCAAGATTACGTAAATCTCCCTTTTTAACAGCTTCCATTAATTCTCCAAATTCCATTAAATTATATTTTTTTAATAAATTATGTTTTGGCATATATCCTAATAACATTTTCACTGGTACAAGATAAGTTAAAATTAATCGTTTATTTTTTGAAGATTGTTTATGACAATGTTCAAAAGCATAAGTAAGGTACTCATCAGCTAAAAAATAATTAAAATAATTATTCAGAGCAGAATAAAAATGCCAAATTTATCATAAGATATTAAATTTTTATAATTACCAGCTTTATAATCACTATCAAACATTGCTTTACGACCTACAAAAAATTTATAAGTAATTTGCTGTGCTAATGCAAAATGTGCTTTATATGGAGATGATTCTATTGCTCTTATTAAGGGTCTGCATAAATGCAATTTATTAATTCTAAAATATATTTTTAATAATTGATTAACTAATGCCAACATTCCCCATCTTTTTGTATCATCTTCTGAACTACGATTATCACAGGCACATACTCGAAAACACCCCATTAAACAATCTGCACACTTTTCTAAAATTTCTCCAGGTTTCATATTTTTACCAGTTTTTGTATTTTCAGCACAAACTGCTAATAATCTTAATTCTAAACACATTACATTCATAACAGGTAGCATCCAATTTTCTTCTTTTTGCATTTGTAAAATTTTTGTTAAAGATTGAACTGCAGAACTTTGATAATTGTACATAGATAATGGATCATCTTTGTTCATTGCTGCTATAGTTCTAAAAGTATAAATACATAATATTATATTTATAAAATATTTATATAATAACAACATATACATTTATATAATATTTAAAATAATAATAATAATAATTTATTAAGATTTAATTCAATTACTTTAAATGGTAGAGTATCAAATCATCAAGAGGAATGGATAAATGTTCCATTGCTTTTGTTATTGCAGCTTCAGATCCAATTTGTGAAATTAAAACATGATTATGTCGTAGAGATAACAAATCCTTAAATAAAAAATTTAAATAAAGTTTGCATTTTTAGATAATCTCTCATTATGATATAGATAATGATTATTTATAATTATTTATTGATTTATTTATTTACCGCTAAAGTATCACCATCCTGATTTAACCACATACGTCTGACCTATCATAAATTTAACCTCAAAATTGTCAAATGTTATTTTAATTATAAAATAATATATGTTAAGTTTTCTAATAAAATACCTGCATTATGTATGAATCCATTATAAGATATATAAATTTAATATAATAATTTGTTTTGAAAATCTCTTTGTTATTAAAATTAATCACATTTTTTTAACATTATACATTAATGCTGCACAATCATATAGTTTAAACATTTGAAGAAGCAGATGTCTCTACTATTTACTACTTATACTATTACAAGAAAAATGTTGCTCAGAAATAAGAAATAATTAAGAATTATAAAAATTATTAACATCTAATTATTAATAAATTATTGTCATATTTATATATAAATATACATATATAATAATAATATGATTATATTTATATTTATTTAAACATGTTTCAAAATTTAAAAAAAAATTTAAATAAAATATTTTAATACTGACAAAATTTTATATAAAAAAATGTTGCATATTAATATACATATCATATTTATTATATATTTAGAATATAAATATTTAAAAAGTAAAATAAAAAAATATAAATATTTTTTATATTAATAAATTTTTTTATTTTATTAATGTAAAATATTAATAGAGAAATAAATATATTTAATTAAATATTTGAATAATTTGAATAATATTAAATTATTATAATATAATAATTAATAAACTTGCAATATGTAATTGAAAATGAACTTTTAATTTTATTATTATGAATATTTAGAAAATTTGTCTTTCTTTAGTTGATAAACCTGAACTTTCTAATATAAAATAGTTAGCTATATGGAGCCCGATAAAGTATAGAGGTGGTGCTGCCAAGTCAGGGAGGGGGGTCCGTGGTCACGTGACCGAGCTGCGTTTTGAGCGCACTAACCAGGTACGAACAAATTCGTTGTTTTTTTCGTGGTTTTTCGCGCGCCACGGCCGAAAAAGCCGAGGCGTCGTGAATTTCGCTTGTTTCTGACTCCGGACGTGTCCTTCGAGTACGCAAACAACGCTTATAATAACTGTGAGTTACTTGCAAATACTTTGACTCGATCGTCTTACGGAGATCTATCGATGCTCCACCGCGGCGATGGTTGACAAGCCTTCTTCGCAAAAGCAGAAATGGCGTCTACCGTGCACATGGTCTGCAGAAAATATTCTACATCAACGTCGTAATACTGATTCAGGAGTATAACATTCTACACGGCCAATTTCTTTATCATCCATTTGAAGAATTTTCACAACTCGCTTACAAACAACAACACAACGGACAAGGTGTTTTTTGTGATGCGCCTGATAATCCTCCTTCGTCATATTCTCACCGCGCACGTCAAAATTTATCTTTTTTTTAATTACTTCATCGTCTTTTAAAATCTCCTATGTTGCAAAAAAAAAACACGAATCTTTTCGGTGTATTTAATTCTTTGCATCGAACAACATGGTCCTTGGGAATTTCATAAAATTTGTGGATAAGATTTAGATCATTCTGCATATCACACCGACGCTTAGTTATCCGTTCTTCTAGACAACCGTTTTAGGAAAAACGTGACTATTTTAAGAAATACTTATTAAATCGCTTAATTTTATATTTATCGTTATTAGTCAACCCTAACCTTTTCATCTCTGTTCATGAGATAGAAATAAAATTGTATTTCGCAGACGTTCATTTAATGTCGATTTTTTATTATAAATTTCTTCATACATATTTTCGCAATTATGATTTAACATTGTGCTTCATATATATTATAATCATACAAATATTTTTATATACCAATTGTTTTTCTTATGTAGGTTATTTTCAATGCATATTCATGATATTAGGATTTTGGGTAATGATGGTATTGAAAAATTCATAAAATTTTATATGTATTTTATTTTTTCAGTAATTCTTCATATAATTTAATTTTATTATGTATAAATAATCATGATTATAGAATTTTTATGATATATAGAAGAATTTATATAAGTAAATTGTAGTTATCTTTTTCATAAATATTAATTTATTTATGCATTTATATAGTTTTTTGTATTTATGTTAATATATAAATGTTAATCTGTGATTTCTTATAATTTTGTTTTATTCTTAATATATAATTAACATTGTTCTAAATTTTTTCTTTAAAATAAAATTATATTAATATTTATTTAAAAAAGGAATTTGCTAGATCAATTCTATTAAAATATTAAAAGTTTTTAATTAATTTATGGATTTTTAAGTATAATTATGCATTCAAAGCATATATCTTATTTATAATATAAGTTATGTTTTATAATTTAAAATTAATAATCTGTTTAACTTTATTAATAATTATTTTATTTTATATATTATATATAAATATTTACTAATTATAATTTTGCCATATATTTTTGTAAAAGAAAAAATATTTTCTTTTATAACATTTACAGATATTATTATATTCTTAAATATATAAACTTTTAAAATATGAAATTTGTAATTAATATTAAAAATTTATAATTCATTATAAAAATGAATTTAAATATTTAAGAAAATTTAGAAAGTATAAAACTAAATGTGAACTATATGTTTTGTTATTGTAATGTATTATATACATTATAATAACATTTCAGATTTTTTATATTTAAATCAATTAATGAAATTAAGTTTCAAATAATAAAGATATATTTAGAATGCATATAATACTTGTTTTTCATATTATGCCATATTGAATATACACAGTTAATTATTTCTTTTGTTACAGACTGTAAATAGAGAGTGTATATAGTGTGATAAGTGAGTGATATAGGTGTGTGGGATTTTAGTTGGCAATGAGTTCAAGCAACAAATCGGTGTCCTCCGGTGGGAGAGGCACCAATAAAAATAAATCATCACAACAGCATGGAAAATCAGATCATCATCAAACTAAATCATCGGATTCAATAAAACATGAAAAAATGCAGGTCAGTAAATACAACCTATTATTACTATGGAAAAAAGATTTTTTATTTTTTCTATCTATTGATTTTGTATTAGTGTTTTAATTAATAATTAAAGAATTTTTTATTAAAAACTATGGCGTTTTAGCCAAACACTGTTCAGATGCGGCATGCACAAATCATTGACACTAGAATGGGTAGTGGTGAAGATCCTATTTTGAAAGAACGCATAAAACAAGTTATGGACATGACTAGACGGTCAGAAGATGAAGTTGTTATGGCTTTACATGATAGTGATGGAGATTT